AAATATCCTTAGTCTATTTAATACCTGGTCATTTGTTTTGTTTCAACTCTTCTTCATTGGTTGCACCTAAAATATATGATATTGATAGATTATCATATTTTTATATCCCCTCTTAGAATTTTTGGCACTTGCTGTTTTCATCAAATAAAGGTATACAAGATCATCTAAGCAGTTTGATTGGAGAGTTAATAGTGGTGATTTCCTTAAATTTATCATCAATCTGAATTTAATGGTATGCACTTTTTAGATCAATTTTTGTAAAGCATTTCATTCTTGCTAACAAATGTAATATAGGTTTGAAATAGGATAAGAATCCAAACAAATCTTATGGCTTATGCCTACTTTATAGTCACCACAGATTCTAAGATTACCATTTGGTTTTCTCATAACTACTATAGGTGATGCTCATTTACTTCTACATATTTCAAAATATCTTGTTCAACCATTTTATGTAGTTTCACAACTACCGGGAGTAATAAGTGAATTGGAAGTCTGCGAGATTCAAAATGTGAGGGTTACAATTTTCTTTAAATTTAATACTTGCTTTATAATCTTTTTTCTTTTTCTGGCTTATCTGAATTCATAGCATGAATTAGATATGTGCTATTGAGCACATCTCTTCCTATTAAGCCAAGGCTTTTATTACAGGCCACAACTGCAATGGCAACAATTTTGATCTGGTATTCATTTCAAATGTTTCTTCAAAGTATCCTAATGCCTTTATGCATGACCCATCGAACTGTCTCAATTTTAAATGATTTTATATAGCTTTAGTTTACCCATTTGTTTACAAAAGTTCTTCAGAATTAGTGTTACATTGCTACTGGTATTAATTTGCATTTTTAAATTTACCCCATTCAATTTAATTTCCTTGAAGGTATTTTCTTTCTTATTCATCTGTATTTTTTCAACACTCTTCATATTTATCTTTTTTAATTTACACATCGATTAAAAAATTATTTTTCTTTTTACAATTTTTACATATCTGTCCCCATGCCTGACATTTTATCTCTGTTTCAGGCTCATACTTATAACATTTGCATTTTACTGTTGTTTTCTTTATCATGTATACATCCATAATTTCTGGTTGATTTTTTTTCCTTCTTAAATTTTTTAATCAACTCTTCCTGTTGTATAAATTTGATACATACCTCTAACGACATTTGGTTTAATTGCAACCATTCTAACATTTTAAATCTATGCAAAGTATTGTACATAACTTCTATCCGTCTTAGCTGAACTAATTCCTTTCAATAGACTTTTCTTCTCATCCTAAACATTGAAATTCACAATACCTGCTGGCATCTTGTAGCTGGTGCAGAAATTTCATGAGTTCTTCACATTCTTGTTTTAATGGCAATGACCAACCTTTTCCTTGGTCAAATAGTCCCTCTGATTTTGCTAAATGTCAATTCTTCCACCTCTGTTGGATAAGTCATCAACAAAATCTTCCTAACAGCTTCACAACAGGCTGTTACCAGAAACAAATCTGTGACTTTGTTTTCACTGCCATTTATTCTGTTGTCCCATATTTTCTTTGTTCTAGCAAGGGCAATGAAGCACCATAACCAAGTTTCAACAAAGTCTGGGTCTTCTACCTGAAACAAAGATCCTACTAGTGACACAATATTATGACATTCCAAGTAGGGATGCAGTCAGTATTGATTCTATAGTCCAAGTATTATTGCCACTACCTTACATAGCAATACTATACATCATGTCTACTTATACACATATGCTAATTAGTGGTAGTACCAACCAAGCATTACCACAGCCTTCTTTAATAAAACCAGATTATAACAAAGTCTAAACATTTAAATAATTTTGGAATACTTGTAATTTACTTATTGTAATAAAGTTGTTTAAAATTACCCCTGAAGTTTTTTTCTGAATGTATCTTAAAGCATATTTAATCTTACACAAGTATTTTAATAAGTAGATATATGGAGGTACAAGAAATTACTTTGCTAGATTAAGTAGAATGAAAAATCCCACCCACTCATTATTTTCTAGAATAGAATTTTTCCATAATTTAATAACTTTGTTGATTACTTGAAAAAAGATAATTATGTAAATGATAAAGCAGAATTGTTAGTCAGTTGCTGTCAGATGTCAGTTATCAAACCTGTATAAGTTTTTGTTAAATTTAATTGACAAGGTCTGTCTGTTTAATTTTATATTGTAATTATCCAATTTTCAAATGGTGTACATCTGAATCAAAACTGTGGATACAAGAACTGGATGTTGTCGGATTTTGTAGGTTATATCCTGCCATTATTTGACATGCTAGCATTAAAATTGATTCAAATATATGTGTATTGTATGTAACATCATGTGTAAAATGGTTTACCTATACATCGACAACACCAGAAAAGAATGTATCAAATATTTATGTCTTTTTTTATATCCACTTTAAAATACTGTAAGAAACTAAAAACATTTCCTATTCATTCATGTCATAATGTTTTACCTATTGTTTATGAATCAGAATATAAATAAATATTTACATATGTAATTGTCCATTTAGCTCTTTAGAAATAAATTTAGCTATTAAGCTAAATTTATTAAAAAGTAATCTCAATTTTTTTTTTTTAAATCACTAATTTAAGGAATACTCTCTGCAACTTGTATGGAAAAAAAACTTGAATAGTATAAAAGTTAATGTTATCTTTGTACCACTATTGTAGAAAATTCTTATAAAAGTTGTATTCACTATTTTGAACTGGGGAGATGTTTTAGATTATGCATAATTGTGATGTAATAATTTACATTAGAACATTTTAAAGTGAAAAAAAAAACCTCTACAAAAATCATCTAATTATTGGATTTCAATTGAAGTCCCAAGTTAAAGCCTAGCAACTAAGCAGCTTGTATCTGATCTGAGGCAGGTTTCTTAGTCCTAAATTATTAATAACCCATAATTATTGAGAAACGTGTTAGCAAAAGACATTCTACAGATATCCAATAATTAGCTAATTAACAACTATACCTAATTCTAGGAATCAATTATTTTTGGTTGCTCAAAAAATGTACATATCTAACTCAATCAGAAGGTGATTTCAGTTTTTACAAAAGTACATAACTGTAGGAATAAAATAATGAGTCAGAGAAACAATAATAATACTGATAATATTAAAATGTTTTGTCTCACAATATTATATAATATTTATAGTCTTAACTTTCAGATTCATTATTTTATGGAATATGAAACCATTCCACTGCTAAAATTTTTAAACAACTTCAAAACCTTTAATATTGGTTATTTGGTTGTCTTAGGAAACTCAAATAAACAATAATTTTTTTAAAAATATATCAAGTGATGTCTTTTCCTATTGAAATGATACATTTAAAAAAACTAATAAAGAAATTAAAGAAATTCTGTAAACCTTTACTTTGACAACATTAAATGCCATAAAACAGAAAAACTCACACTAAACATGGTATACAATGAAATTTTTAAATCACCACAATATATTTTTTTTTTAAATTTTCATGCACTTGACAATCACATGCTGTTTCAATTCATTCTGTGATAGGATTGTAATTCACCCATGATTAAAAAAAAAAATGTCTTCAGTCTTTCAAGGAGAATATTGATCTGGCCTTTTAACTAAAGATAGAGTGCAGGGTACTTATTAGCAAATATTCCTCATGACTATTGAAAAATCTTTACCAATTGATAAGAATTCCTCTGTATGTAGACCTTAATTCTTGTTGGTAGCAGAGATTCCTCTGACACTTAACCTTCTGACTGATGAGAACAATGAATTCCATTGTTGATATGGAATTTCAATGGACCCACTAATTAACTCCTACAGCTAGGCTCACCTCAACATAAGATGTACCCATGAATACTAACTCACTAACAATGAACCATCAAATCAGATTATGACATCTGTTTATTTGATAAATGTTGTTTTATCATTATGTAAAGTTCTGACACATGTTGTTTAAATTATATCAAGATTGTATTTATTTCCTTTACCATATATACTTGTGTATAAGCTGAATTTTTTGTTTGAATTTTAGCCCCTCCAGAAAAATGTACTTCTGTATAGTGCAACCAGTCACCAAAACTGCATGACTTTTTTTTTCTCTCTCCAAAAAAATTTACCTGTGTCTAGTGCAACCACCTATTTTTGCATAAAAAACCTGATCATAAAAACTTGCACTATACTCAAGGATATACAATACTTTATTATGTTTTTGACTTAATTATTTTTTAAAAATTTTCCAATCAATATTTCAATTAGTAAATTTTTAACACACCCAACTTTATTCTGTATAAGTATTTCTCTAGGATAGGAGAGTATGTGGACAAATAATAACCTTGTTTTTTTTTTGTTTTGTTTGGTTAAATATTTAGCCAGCAGAATGTAAAGTTTTTTATTGCAGCTTTGTAAAATCCTAGCTAGCCTGAGTTTCTATTGCCCCCCTATATCACAATCACTTGTACCGTTACCTTTTAATAACCCATAACTGTAAGGTCATTGAAAGACCATGTATACTGCAGTAGTAGCAACAGTGGTTGTGTCTAGGTCAAAATAACTTGATGGAGCGTCTTTTCAGTGTTGTCTTTCTGTCAAGTCTAAAGATCCCAGTCTGCTTTATTATTTATGAGGGCTTGAGTTTTCCTTCACTTAAACTAGCTGCTACCCAAGGCAAGAGAACACAGTCTGCCCTGCTAACCTATATAGCTGGTGGAAGATAAATTTATGTCTTTTTCAAGGGCATTAAGGCGAAGTGAACATAATGGAATAAACCAAAATGACGACTTTGCACACTGATTCCATTACCATGCTTGTAACTTACACTACCAGATATACTCATATATGAGACATTAGTTTGGAACTCTTCTTATAATTATATTAAAATAAAACTAGTTTAGAAGAAATATTTTTTTTTAGAATTTAAATAATGTCACAAATTTATTTTATTTTCAGAATCAAATTCAAGAATTCAAAGCTGCTCAAACCCCTAGTACAAATCAGCTTCGCTCCATGCTTCTGGATCCGGCCATCAACTTAGTATTCCAACACATGGCCAAAGAAATGGAAGAGTGCAAGGAGAGACAGAAACAGACACAAAATGAACTGAGTGCATGGAAGTTCACAGCCGACAGGTGTGATATTTCCCATCTTAATCGGGTAACATTTCTAACCTAGAATTGCAGATGCATCAAAACACACCTTCTGTACTCAGAAAATATGTCATCACTTTTAGCTACCAATGGTGATGACAATGGCAGCAACAGCAGAGGTGATGATGATAGTGATCATAATGATGGCAACAGCACCCTGATAGCTGTCATTCACATCAAAACACCCAGTATAGCTTCGAAGTGGGTCATGTCATTCTCACTGCCAAGAATGTCAGTGTTTAGGGAGGCATTAAAGGAGGTAGCAGGAAAATTGTCTTCCAGGGACATGTTTTGGAAGTGTGCACTGAACAGTCAACTTATATTGCACACTATTACTTCTGCTCCTCATCTTCCTCTGTCTTCTTTTTTATGAATTTTATTTATAACTACTACTGACCAGCAGAACAAAACAAAAACTTTTCTTAACGAACACTGTTGGTACATGATCACAAGACATTCCCCCAGCAACTGATTCTTGTCATTATATATAGGTAAAAATGTAACATTCACCATTGACTTTAAATTGTTATTTTTTAAAATATTTTCTTTTTGTTCTTATTTTTAAATGCTTTCTCTTGCTCAGAAATGCCATTTTATCTTTCAACTATACATAAGGTCAAATGCTTTAATGCAATGCACACAAACATTTAGATCTATATTTATCTGAAAGTGACATAAAAGAAAAGTTATAAAATAATATCAAATACTGAAAAATATTATCACATTGTTTTTATAAAGTACAGTAGAATCCCTGACAACCGTACTAAGAAGACCTGGATATGAGGAATTGGTTACAAAGTCTGATATATTAGGGGTTATATTAGATTAAAATAAAAGAACTGAAATCTGTTTTAACATTTATTTTCAATGTCTTATAGTAAACAAAATAAGCTAATGATGAGTGAAACATAACAGAATTGATTTTAAAGAAAAAGAAATAAATTATGTAATGTTAATAAAAATTCATTAAATTAGGTATGCCACATATGCAAAACAAATAATGTAACAAGAATTTTTAATCATTGTTGCAAAATGTTTGTTTCTCTTCTAATGTCATTCTTAACTTTTTCCACATTTCGTTTTGCTTTTATTCTTGAAATTTTTTAAATGAAAGACACTTTTAACTCTGTGTGCATTATTGAAATCGTCATAACTGAATGCTGGCTTTTTTTCCATAAACCTTTTCAATAGCTTTTTCAATTTCAGACCAGGTTTCATTACAAACATGCATCTCATCGCTATCTTGTTGCAGATGTGTCTTGTCATCTTAGAGTTCTAGGGAGGAATCATCATTTAACTCTCTGTTGTTACCTGTATTAACCCATTCTACCAACTCATCAGAATTAATGTTGTACCACTGATTCTCGCTGTTAGCAATTTTTAAAGTTTCCTTCAGAACATCTACCTCTTCATTTTTGTTGTATAAATCTACACTTAAAATCTCATTTTGTTTCTATTGATGCATCTCCATCAATTTCATTTTGTTCTTTTGGAAGCAATTTTTTCCATTACAAGTGTTTTTGATTTCACACACTCTCATGCATCACAGAGCAAAAAAAACAGCATCCTTAATGTTAAAACTTTTGAAATTCTAATGGTTTGCTACCTTTTTGCATCATTTGCATCATGAAATGACTCTTGTAATAACACTTCACATTTGCTATTACTGCCTAGTCCATTGTTTGAATAAGTGGTGTGACATTTGGTACAAAATAAACAGCATAAATATTTCGACAGTCTAACACAAGTTGAAATTCATGTAGGTGGTCCTTACAGTTGTCAAGGATCAGCAAACATTTTGTATCATTTGGTTTACCTGATGTTTTAAAGTGTGAATGAACTTCAGGGATAAATTGTTGAACAAACCACACTTGAACAAAATAGGTTTAGTCATCCAAGCACTTTTTTGGGATTCATATTTTACCAGTAAGTATACCAATCCTTTGAAAACTCAAGGGTGTGCACTTTCCTATCACCAAGATTTGTGTGTGCCAGAAGCATTTGCACATAAAAGAACAGTCTTTCCTTGTTTTGTTTGAATTGGGCACCACTTTTTCTTCATTTCCTGCTAAAGTCTTTTTTGGTAGACACTTCCAGTTCAACCCAGTCTCATTGCAATTTGATTATGAGTAATCCTTCTTTCTTTAATAACGCTGTGAAAGAAACAGAAAATGTTGTAGATGCCTTACAAACTACTGATTTGATTTCTCCGGCTATAGATAATTGCCTAATGCCATGACGAACATTAAAACAATTTAGCAAGCCACAGTTAAATTTGCAGGCTAAATTTAGATTCAATTCATCATTTAACGATTTGGCCTTTGCTATGAGCATCGGTCCTGAAATCAACATCTATTCTGAATGCTTCTCAGAAAATCATTTGTACAGTTTTGCATCTAGAGTAAGAGATTTAGATGGTGAAAAGATTTTTTATTTCCTTGTTCATTGTGGCAGTGTGAACATTGGAGAATAGTTTCTTTGGAAGATTTTATATCATACAATGTTGACTTTCCTATGCTGAACTCAGCCATTAGTTTCAATAAACATTCACCAGCAAATAGTCATTTTAGAATTTCCACTTTTTGCAATAACTCCAAAGTTGGTCATTTCCTTTTATTCCCATCATCTTTTGCACCAATACAAGCCATTAGGGTGAAATAGGCCTAAGCAATTATCCAAAGTAAATTTCCTGAAAAATAGAAATTTGAAATCAGTTACATATCACCCAAATAGTTCAAATATACACATCAAAATCATTTCTGGATATGAGGCACTTCGGATATGAGGGATTCTACTGTATATAATTTCAAATAATCATTTGGTTTTGCAAGTAAAATAGTTTTTAAAAAAAAAAACTAATATAAAAACAATCTGTTTTATCTGAAAAGCAAATTTGTATTAAAGTTCATCTTCTAGGTTTTATATATGTATACATTTTTATGGAAATATTTATTTTTGTAAAAAGTATTTTAATGACTTTTCTCCTGTAATAGTGATCATGTTCTTATTTAGCAGCATATATAAGCCACATGTGTATGTTAAGAAAATTTGTTATAATTAACAGTATTGTTATTTTTCTCTTGTTTTTAAATTATTTTATTTTGTAATATTTATCTTTTTATCTTGGAAAAAGAGTTCTTTAAGTTTGAATACAAAGTCTATCTTTAGTTTTAAAAAGCTTGATTATTTTTTGTAATTTTATTTTAATATTTTAATTATACATCTTAAAATAATTTACAATATAGTTTAGGCTAAATTTAGCAATTGATACTTGCTGATACTGCGAAAGTGTTTATTTTGGTTTTCTATAATCATTTAGTCTCAGCTGGAAAAAACTTAATACTGTGTAAAATAAGAAGTTATTCTAAATGGAATGTGTTTGTATATTTTTTATATTTTGCATAATTGTCTATGTCCATGCATTTTTAATCCTTTTGTATTACTTTACATAATTTGTAAAATCAATGTTTACAAAGTTACACACACACATATATGTGTGTGTGTGTAGGGGGTGTCCTTGATTTATTTGACAACAGATTTTTTTTAATGTTTTATAAATTCATATTTTGCAATTTGTTTTATAGTTTTATATCTATTTTTATATATTTGCCATTTTTTTAGTTGTATAATGATGATTTTATTTATTTCCTTTTTTTTTTAATATGAAAAATAACACTTTAACATTGGCATATGAAATAAAAAAAAAATAAAAAAATTTAAATTTTACTGACAAATATAAGGACAAGAAATAAACTATCTGTATCAGATAAATTTGTTAGTACAGAAACATTGAAAAATATGGATAAATCATTTCAAAACTTATATTTTCAAGTTAAAATTGTTTGTATTATCTGAAGGATTTATATACTTATGCAAGTCATTCTTTATTTACTTGTAAAAAAGTGTATTGACAGCATATCGGTTGTATTTCTAATAACTTCTGATGGATGTTAGCACAATGACAATATTGTGAATGCATAAATTGAACTCCACATGCACAAGGAACAACACTAACAGCTTGGAAAATACTTGAGTGGTAAGAATTTTTTTTCTTATATATATATATATGTTTTATTTTACTTTTTTATATTTAATGTATCTAATTTCTTAGCAATGTATTAAATGACCTAAACCTTTTAATTCCATGATGAAATTTGTCTACAGTTATATAACTTCAGTTTGAATGAAAAAGCTCACGATTTTAAATGATACAAAAATATTTTTTAATAATTGATAAATTTTAAATATATTCTATATAAGTAAAATTGATGTTGGTTTTATTTCAGTAGTAATTTCTAGAAAAACATTTTGTTGCATGCCTTGCTGATTTAATAAGGACAATAACAAAAATTTTCAGACCCACTCAAACAGTAACTCATTTCGGGGTTTTTAGAGGTGCTAAAAACATTCTTGGCTCAACACCCCTCCAAAAATCAGTATTTCAATTGAAATTTTCTGGGATTTAAAAAAAAAAAACTTTTCGCATTAAACTATAAATAATTAAAAACATCTCTTTATTCAGTAAAATACTAGCCTAGAGTAAATTTAATGTTTTGGAACATATTAACAAAACTAATCCATGCTCCAAAAACTATATATTCTGAACTCTTTTTCATTTATTAAATTATGCTTTATATATCTTCAGTAATCTTCCATAATAAAGACTATAAAAATCTGTGCCAATTTTGCTTGTTTTATACATTGAAAGCTTTCAGAATATCAATATAATTTTGTATAGAAAGTGACAATTCTGATTTTTCTTGTTTTAATAAAAAGTTCACATTGAAACCAAAACAATTTTTGTTTATGCTTCTGGATTTCTGTGACTTTTTCTGCAGTAATGTTTAGAACTTGTAAGTTCTTATAGAAGTTGACAGGAAAAGAATATTCTGAATCTAATATATATTTTTTGAGAAACTTTTTTTTATCATACAAATTTCCTGTCCTGTCAAGTGAAATTTAGCATAATTTGGCTCAATCTG